TTCCTCCTGGCTATATGCTGTCCTCACTGTAGTGGGTTCTCACAAGATCTAATTGTTTCAAGTGTGTGGCACCTCCCCTACTCTCTCTTGCTCCCGCTTTCACCATGTGACATGGCTGCTCCTACTTCACCTTCTACCATGAATAAAAGCTCCCTGAGGCCTACCCAGGAGCAGAGCAGATGCCTGTGCCATGCTCGCATAGCCTGAGAACCATGAGCCAATGAAACCTGTTTTCTTCATTAATTACCCAGCGTCAGGTGTTTCTTTATAGCAATTCAAGACTGGCCTATTACACCTCCTTTACCCTTCGGTCCCTAGCATCCACTGATTTACTTTTCATCTCTATCAATCTGACTATTCTGGAAATTTTTTATCAATAGAATTATATTGCATGATTTTTGTTACTAGCTCCTTTCACTTAGCATAATGTTTTCAAGGTTTATCCATGTTATAGCATGTATCAGTACTTCATTTTTTTATTGCCAAATAACATTCCACTATGTGAATGTGCCATGTTTTGTGTACCTGATCTGTTAATCCATGGACATCTGAATTGTTTCTGCATTTTCATTATTATAAAAAATGTCACTATGAACATTCATGTGCACATTTTTGTGTGCATATATGTTTTCATTTCTCTGGGGTATATACCTAGGAGTAGAATTGCTGTGTTACATGGTAATTTCATGTTTAGTATTTTGGAGAACTGCCAAACTCTTTTCCAAAGTGACTATACCATTTTACATACCCACTAGCAGTGTCTGAGGTTTCTATTTCACTACATAGTTGTTAACACTTGTTATTATCTTTTCCATTATAGCCATCCTAGTGGACATGAAGTTTTCTCTGATTGTTGTTTTGCTTTTTACTTCCTTGAATGATTTTTAGTACTTTTTCATGTGCTTTTTGGTTATTTGTACATCTTCTCTGGAGAAATATCTTTGGATATTTGTCCATTTTTCAATTGAATTATTTGCCATTTTATTGTTGAATTGCAAGAATTCATATATGTTCTAGATGCAAGTCTAGATGTATATACCAGATATATAATTTGAAAATATTTTCACCTATTCTATAGATTATCTTTCACTTTCTTGAAGGTGACTTTTGAAGCACAAAAAATATCTTACTTTTTATGAAGTCCAAGGTATATACTTTTTTTCTTTTGTAATTGTGCTTTTGGTATTCTATCTAAGAAACCACTGCCTAACCTACAGTTGCAAAGATTTGCTCCTGTTTTCCTCTAAGAGGTTTATTGTCTTATGTCTTAAATTTAGGCCTGTGCTCCATTTTAACTGCTGCATAGGGGTCCAACTTCATTTTTTGCATATCAATATCCAGTTGCGCTAGCACCATTTATTGAAAAGACCATTCTTTCATTGAATTGTCTTAGCATCTTTGTAAAAAATAGATTGGCCACAAATTTAGGGATTTATTTCTGTACTCTTGATTTAATTTCATTGACCTACATATCTATTCAATTCCAGTACCACACTGTCTTAATTATTGTAGTTTTGTATTAAGTAATTGAATTGAGAAATCTGAGTCTTCCAACTTTGTTACTCTTTCTCAAGATTGTTGTGCCTATACCGGATCCTTTATATTTCCACAAATTTTAGGATCGGCTTGTCAATTTCTAAAAAAGACAGGCTTCTGGGGTTTTGACAGAGATTGCATTGTATCTGTAGATTAATTTGGGGAGTATTGTCACCTTGACAACATTACATCTTCTGATCCATGAACATATATATTCCATATATTCACATCGTCTTTAACTTCTTTGTTAAACTTACCCTTAAGTATTTTATTCTTTTTGATGCTATTATAAATTGAGTTATTTTCTTAATTTCATTTCTGGATTGTTCATTGCTAGCCTATAGAAATACAATTGATTTTTATTTATTGATCCATCCTGCAATCTTGCTGAAAATGTTATTTCTAATACATTTTTGGTAGATTCTGTAAGATTTTCTACATATGAAGGCACATCATCTGCAAAAAGGGATAGCTTACTTCTTCCTCTCCAATTTACATGACTTTTATTATTTTCCTTGCCTACTTGCCTTGGCTAGAACCTCAACATGATGTTGAATAGACATGGAAAAAATAGACATCCTTGTTTTGTTCCTAATTTTAGGTAGAAAGCATTCAGTCTTTAAACATTACATGTGATGGTAACTTTGGGTTTTTCATAGATGACTTTCATCAGGTAAAGAAAGTTTTCTTACAGTCCTAGTTTGTCAAGTGTTTTTACCATGAAAAGGTACATGATTTTGTCTAATGCTTTTTCTGCACCTATGGGGATGATCATGTTTTTAAATATAATCTATTAACATAGTGTAGTACATTGTTTTTTGCTATGTTTAACCAAACTGGATTCAGTTTACTAGTATTTGGTTAAAGATTTTTACATCTATATTCATAAGTGATGTTGCTCAATGGTTTTCTTCTAATGTCTCTGCCTCATTTTGGTATTAAGTAATACTGGCTGCATGGGATAAGTTGGGAAGTGTTCCCTCCTCTTCTGTGTTCTGGAAGAGTTTGTGGAGGACTGATGTTAATTCTTCTTTAAATGTTTGGTAGAATTTGCTATTAAAGCTGTTTAGGCCTGGGCTTTTCATTGTGGGAAGTTTTGAAATTATTAATCTAATATCCTATTATTGGTTTATTAAGATTTTCTATTTATTCTTTATTCAATTTTGGTAGTTTGTTTCCTTCTAGGACTTCATCCATTTAATGTAGATTTTTTTTTTTTTTTTTTTTTTTTTTTTTTTGCGTACCGTTGTTCACAATATTCTCTTATATTCCTCTTTATTTCTGTAAGGTCAGACTACTGCCTGACTCCAAGACCTACTATGAAGCTACAGTTATAACAATGTCTTAGAAAAGACACAGAAAGGAATAATCATAAAAGAAGAAAAAGATAAATTAGACTTAAGCAGTATTAAAATTTTCTGCTCCCCCAAATAACACTATTAAGAAAATAAAAAGGCAAAATCCACGCTGACCCAAAATATTTAAAATAAGTATATCTAAAAAAGAACTTGTTTTTATTTTAAATAAACTCTTGTAAGTCAATGATAAAAAGACAAGCAACTCGATTTAGAAAAATACGCAAGGGATTTAAACAGATCTTTCACAGAGAACGTATACAATGGCCAATGTGCACACGAAAAAGTGCTCAATGTCATTAGCTACCAGATAAGTGTAAATTTAAACCACAATCTGATAACATTTCATACCTACTAGAGTGAATATGGTTAATAAAGAACTGAAACAAATGTTGGTCAGGATCAAGAACAACTGAAACTCTCACATACTGCTTAAGAGCATGTAAAACGGCAGTACCACTTCTTTGAAAAACTGGCAATTTCTTACAAAGTTAAAAATCCATTTACCCAATTATCCAGCAAGTCTTCTCTAGGCAAAGTGAATATTCTTGTTCAAGTTTTTCATTTTTCTTGAAAAAAAAAAACTTGAACAAGAATATTCACTTCACCCTTTTCATAGTAACTACAAGCCTGGAAACAATTCAAATGTCCATCAGTACGACAGATAAACTAACTGTGATTTAGTCATTTCATGTTACTATTCAGCAATAAAAATTAACAAACTGTCTATGACATTGAGGTACATCAAGACCTTCTGTTGAATGAAATAAACTGGACATAAAAGAATACATGTGGCATGACTCCATTTACATCAAGTTCAAAAACAGGCAAAACTAAGCTATGGGAATAGAAATCAGAAAACTGTCTCTGCTGTGGTGGAGAGGTGGGGGTCAACTGCAAAGCGGTCCAAGGAAACTTTTGGGGATGATGGAAATATTGTATATTTGGTGTTAGCGTTCGTTACACAAGAAGAGCATATGTGCGTCAAAACTCACTCCACCAAAAACTAAAATCTATGTATTTTGCTGTAGGCAAATTTAACCTCAAAAAAAAATTCAGAAACATTTTAGGTAAGAGATGTTGGATGCAAGTGCTTTAAATATTCTTTTAGGTGGCATGGATAGATCTTACTGTTGTTACCTGCAGCTCAGCCTGCAGGACTTCAGTGTCCTTGCACCTTGGAACACTGGCATTCCACTTGTCAGCCTCGCAATAAGAACACAGGTGCACCCACCCAACCCCTCCCAGCCATGCCAGCAGGGGCTGGGCAACCCTGTCAGCAGCACACTAGATATGCAAGAGCTCTCTAATTATCATCCTTTTATAAAAGCTGGCACTAGCTTCCTCATCATCATGTTAAATTTCAAACACAAGCTAATTCTAAATTATTCAGAAATGAATGATTGGAGTTAACACTGAAAAGCAAAATTGCTTATGGAGGGAGGAAAGAACACAGAATAGAGCCCAAAGTCTGGAGTTCCACTCCCAGTCCACTACTTCTAGGCTCTGTGATCTGAGATAAGTGCTAAGTTTCTTTTCTTTATAATGCAGGGATGATGATAACATGACACCCAACTGCTGGACAACGGCGTAGCACTTGGGGAGGAAGAGCTGAGGCAGAAATGAAAGCCTATGGTAGAATGTGAATTTCCAGGTGAAAATACACATTTTATTCAAAGTCCTCACTCCCCACCTCCATCCGCCAAATATACACAAACATCTGGACCTATTTTTGAAAACTTTACTGTAAATTAGAACCTTTATCAGAAGGTAAAGAACTTTTAACTGTTCAAGTCTGCTACTTTTAAAATTCTGGAGAAATGTTGGCTCCTGCCTTCTCAAATTCTCTATGGCCGCCATTTATCTGAATACAGAGAAAATCAAGATTTGGACCTTGGCATCCTTTAAAATTGGATGTCCAGATTAAAAGCATCTACAGAGGTTTAAGCATCCAAGAATGCTTTTAACCTGGGCATCTGAATTTAACAACAGACTCTTTCCTGATCACAGTTAGAAAATGACATCCCGTGCCTGCTTCTCCTCTGAATTCTTACTCATGACAGGGCGTCACACTTACCTTGACAGAGCAAACCCTGAGAGCCATCTCACCTGCTGGTGAAGGTCAGGGCCAAGGCTGTGGCCAGGTGGGGCATTAGCCGCAGGGTCTGTGTTTGGTGCTCAATGATCTTCACCTCTTCCTTGGCTTTGGGCCCAAACTGCCTCCGGCTAGAGGGAATCAACAGACACCACTGTTACCCAAATCCAGGAGGCAACTTCATTTCCAGAGCTAAAAGTGCTGGCTAGCCATTCGCCTTCCAAAGCCTCCAGAACGCAGAAATCTGAATTTCCTAAAATGTGGTTAGGACAAGATATCCTAAGTTTCTGAAGAAAGTCCAGCAGGAAGCTTTTCAGCTCTCCTAGAAGTTAACCTTCCCAGCATGGAACATTTTTAAAGCAGCACATCTATCTAACACCAGTAATTTTTACTCCTTAACATTTACATGACATTTTATAGTTTCAAGTGCCCCATGATCATTAATTATTCAGCTTTACTAAGTTTGTGACATAATTAATAAGACAGGAGGGATACCCTAGAACATATTTCAAAAGGACATTCTCAACAAGGAGGGTGACATCAACCCTAGTGCCCCTGTCAGATTCACAGGCGGGTCATTACTTTCAGCCCACCTCAACCCCCTTGCGATCCTCCGTGGAAAAGGTGTTCTCCACACCCCACCTTAAATCCCTGTGCTCTGCAGACAGCATCTGCATTGCACTCTGAGGCTGCTCTGTCAGGTGAACCATGGCTTTACTTGGAGCAATCTATAAAGTGGTGTGGGATTGTCCCCACAGGCAATGCCCAGGGACAAGTCTCCCAGAATCTCATAGTTGTAGACCACAAAGAGCCCAGGCTTTACGTAGAGGTCACCCTCTGCCCCACGCAGCCTGATGCTCTACATCCTACATTTGGCAGCATCCTGTCTTTGAACAGCTCTTAGTTTAACGTTGGTTTCTGAAAGAACAGCATTTCACTCACGCACACAGGCATACACACTGCTATGTTATCAAACACGGTGGGCAAACCTTTGCTTCACACGCCAGTGGGCTGAGGACATCCATCAACCACTCAAAGAGAAGAGAAGGAACAACTGTTTAAAAAATCTTACATATGATAAAGACTTCGTTAAACATACTTTTATACTTAAATATTGTGTTTATTTGTAATTACAACAAGGGCACCATAATCTTTTTAGTGTGTAAGGCATCTGGAATTCATATCCTAGAGCCGTCATGGGGGTGGTGAGGACAAATGACAAGCACACACGAGGAAGGCCGCACTATGAGCACAGCCTTGTTTTCTAAGAGCACAGACTTCCCCTAGGCACAGCCTAACCACCCCACGGATAACGGTTTCAAAAGCACCAGTCCACCCTGCCCTTCTTCCGTGCCTGCCCCTCCATCCTAGTTCATACCCTACCACAGCAGGCTCATAGCTCCAGACGAAAGGGCTGTCAGTCTACAGGGAAATATCTCAGTTTTTGCTGGATCATGGTGAAACCAACCAAAAAATCACAAAGCTGGTAACGGTGTCATCATGACGTTGGGTCATTGATAAGGACTGAATTGTGTCCCCCCAGAATTCACACACTGAAGCTCTAATGTGACTATTTGGAGACAGGGCTCTTAGGAGGCAATTAAGCTTGAATTAGGTCATATGGGTCCTAATCTGATAGGATTGGTGGCCGATATAAAAAGAGAAGAGAAAGTTCCTTCCCTCCCCACACCCATGCACTGAGAAAGACCCTATGAAGACACAGCAAGATGGCGGCCAGCAGCCGTCTGCCAGCCAGGAAGAACACCCTCACCAGATCTGTCAGTGCCTTGATTTTGGGCTTGCAGTCTCCAGAACTATGAGAAATAAACTTTTATTATTTAAGCCACCCAGTCTATGGTATTTGGTTACAGCAGCCAAAGCTGATTAATATGATCATTTTACAAATTCCATGTGTTCCTCCCACTTAACTTGCATTTTTTACATGCTGTGATTATACTGTAGCTCTATCTGTCAGTTGTTGTGGCTATTGTCTTATCCACCCAAACCAGATAATGGCCACATGCAGTTCACTGGGGATGTCTGTGCGTCTGCTCTATGCCCAGCTCCATGCTAGGCACTGGGTGTTCAAGTCAAGAAGGCTGAGTCCCAGCCACTGAGCCCAGAGCCTGGGACATGGAGAAAACCCAGACAAGGTGACATGTGCAAAGAGAGCCTTAGGCACGGCCCCATGCTCCAGAGCTTCACTTCAGGACATTTTACTTACACAGTGACAGCAAAAGCAGTGATTGATCACAACTTTCAGTTTTATTGTTGTTGTTGTTATTGTGTTTTTTTTTTTTTTTGCTGAAAAATAACTATGATAATAATGCAATTTTAAACAGTATCCCATCACAATTTCTGTTTCTATGGCGAACTCTTTGTCTTGGCCACCATACACTCAATATCCATTTAATGAATGAAAGAATGAATTTGTTTTGCAAATGAGGAAATGCAAATGAATCACAGCAGAGTGGCCTCTGGAGACCTCAGGAAATGTCTCTGGATGCCAGATCTGACCCCAATCTGTTGTGCCTCAGTTTCTCGATGGAGGTACACCTTATAGTAGTGCCATTTCCTCTTTGACTCTCATGTTCAATTAGGGTGATGGGTGAAGAGTAGAAAGAGGCCATCAGGGGTCCATGTGGCAGGCCTTGCAATGCCTTTCTCTGTGCTGATAGAGAGGAGTTAAGTTTTCCTAATCCACTGTTGAGTTCCCAGGTAATTTCACAAAAATCAGGAGTGTTCACAAGAATCTGAATGTCCACACTTTCTTTAAAAATAGGAAGATCTGGCAGCTCTGGACCCTATTCCCATAATGCGATCTGCTGGAACTCAGAAGCCCGATGCTCTAGGCAGAGAATGGTGGTCCCCTGAGGGCCCCAGAGCCCTTTCCACTCCCTGACATTACCTGCTGGCCCAGGGGGGCATTGAGTTTTTAGCCACATTGCATTTTTTTTTCCATCTAGAATAAATTGACATCGGCATCCTAACTTGTTAATTACATTCTATAACTGTGATATACAGCCAAGCATAGACATTCTACGTAAGTCTATGAATTTACTGGAAGAACTTCTAGGGAGCAAAATGGATCTGGCCAGCTTGTAGGGAATAAAATTCAAATGCCTCAGCTTGGTATTCAAGAGCCCCCTTCAGCCTGACTTGAGTGTTCCAGCCTTTTCTCCCACTAAGCCCCTTCAGATGCTCTTCCCCATCCTGGGCCTCTGTCCAAACAGGGCTACCTGCCTGCAGCAGACCCCACCCCTAACTGTCAGTGTCTAACTGGACTCATTTTTGCTGGACTCAGCCAAATGCCCTTTCCCCAAATTGATACTTCCCTGATTCTCCCCTTCTCCTTGGCACACTCCATCAAAAACAGAACAGAACCAAACCAACTAAAGCAAGAAGCTGCTTCTCCCCAGAATGCTGAGCATTTCATGTTGCCCCTCCTGCATTGCCCAGCACCTTCCCTCTCCAGTTGGCACCATGTGTACCTGTGGTAACCATGTGCCTCTGACGCTTTGACATCAGGGACTTTGCTGACCCTGGAGGGACAGGGTTCCCAGGGCCAGCTAATTCCTAAAGACAGCAAATGACTTCCCTTTGAGTGCATTTTTCAAAATAAACAAATCAGTCCAGGACCCCATCCCTGCTGCTTCTTTTATCTGGCTCTTCTACTCAGGGCCTACCCTCTTCTCCCCAGGGCCATGTACCAGACAACTCAGGACAGATCCTATGCCTTGGAGCCTTCTGATATCATTCATACTAGCCAGTCTTAAAACTGCTTACCTGCCCTGCCCATTTCTTCCTGTGGAAACCACAATAAAGGCTCTTGCCCACATTTTCGCTTGAGGCTCTCTGCCTTCTAACCAATGCTAGTGTTTCCCCACGTGGCCCTGCGTGGTATGATGTGCCCCTGCTTTTGGGAACTATAAGTAACAAACTGTGCTTTCCATGGTCTTCTCTCCTGATCTGCCAGCTTCACCATACTGAGTAATAATACAACCTACATTTTAAAACGGCACCTTTCATTGGTCTCAGCCTGCTGAGGGAAGGCCCGCTCAGTCTTCTGGCGCCCCAGCCTGCCCTGACATATATACCCAGGAAAGACAGAGGCAAGAGGGCAGATGAATGTTCTGCCAGCTCCCAGCAGCTCCACATCAACCCCTTCACTCACCCTCTCCCGCTTCTCCTTGGACCGTTTGCTTGTCATTAGACGCTCTGAACAAAACTCAGTTCTCAGACACTGGAGTGCTGGCTGGGAGCCGAGGCAGTTAGGACAGGGATGAGAGGAATGAAAGGAAGGAGCCTCCCCTGTGCTCAACAGCCCACTCCACCATAGGCTTTTCTGCCAGGGGCCAGAGGTAAACAGGTGGGTGGGCAGAAGGTAGGTACCACCCAACTCTTTCTTTCCCTACCTCTGGCCCAAGACCCTGACAATCCCCAAGCACCGAGCAGGGAGTTTCCTCTGGCTTCTCGATCATCAGGTGTGCTCTCTGGCTTCTCCAAGGAGGAACGACACTGAGGGCTACTGAGGCTCCTCCCACCCAAAGATGCAGCAAGAGGTCAGGCCTGTGACCGCCACCATCAGCCCCCATGTGGGCAGCCTGCAGCAGCAGAGGCAACAGAGACCAAAGTCCTCAAGACTTGGGGTTCCCAGAGGGCCTGCCCCCTGAGAGACCCTGCCCTGGCATGCTGCGGTCTCCGCCTTATTTATGCTCTGAGGCCCCATCGGCCTTACCAAGGGCCATGACAGTCCAGGCCTGGACTCTGGTTGCCAGCATCCTGGCACACTGCCCTGAACACAGCTCACAGGACTGTAATCCCTGCAGCTGGCCAGCAGTTACCGCCTGCCAGACGTTTTTATTGTTCTAGTTTATGATCTATATGGACACAATATTCTTCCCATCCTTTTCCCCAACTGGGTTACTATTTTTCTTTAAAAACAGATACAAAGGCTATATTTTTCTCTGTAAATATAATTTTTATTTCAGTACTTCCTCCCCGAAAAAAACCAAGTCACTTAGCTCAAATTTTTTGTGATCTTTAAAATAAAAAATTGGTGTGTGTATGTGTACAACGATATCCATGTGAGAATAAAGCCAGGCTCAGAGAGTGCTGTGAATGATGCCAT